ACACATTTCTTAACCCATACCCCCACGCTTCTGAACATCTCTACCTCTATTAACACTTTATTTCGATATTTTTTCAAAAGATTTTCCATTTTCTCTCTCAAAACTTTTGATTTCTCTCTCAAGATTCTAGGGTTGAGAGACATTACTTAAACGGAATCCTTAGTTCATCAACAATTTCTTCCCTTTCGATGAAGAAGAAAGGAACTCTGACGAAAAGCCCTAAAAATCTACTGATTCAGGAGATGGTGAAATTCCTACATTTGATATGGGTGCTTTCTCTCAAGATTCACCCAAAACAATGATGAAATCCCGACATACAACACCAGAAAGAAAGTCCCAGCTTACCCCTCGTGAAGCTAGGTTAGAGGCGCAAAAAAAATTAAAACATGACAGGGATGCTACTGAAGGATCGTCATTTGCTAAATCAGTAAAACAGAAGGGCAAAGAAATCGTTGGTGATGACAATTTAGTGGATGAAGAAGTGATTCTCAAATCTGCAAAAACATATCCAAGGTTTCTCTTGCTGGAAAACCTTCAAAAATGAAGAAGGTTCATAAATATCCTAAACACATACCCCAACAGTCTTTAAAAAGGTAAAATTGTAGTAGTTACAATATTTGTATTTTAGTTTTAGTAAAAAAGTTATTTTCATGCTCATCCTGATACCTATTTCTTTTTGTTCCTTTATTGTAGAAATTTTGTCTACGTTGTGTATATATCTTGTTGTTTACAATTTTTTCTAAATATTTTTGCAATTACAGATTTGTTGTATAATATTTGAAATAATTTTGTTAGGGTATGTATTTCATGACGTAGTTTGTTTTATTGGTTAACGTTTATTCTCTTGTAGATATTAATTGTAACTATTATGTTTGGTAGTTATTTTTCCCCCACTGTTCTAAATGTAGGTTACTTTGTAGTTTTCTTGTTCAATACATTTTGTGTAAACAGAGGACTGTCAGTTTTTTGTAGTTGCATTATAGTTTAATTATTTTATTTATTTTTAATTTGTCATTTAATTGTCTCCAATGTATTACTGTCATTTTGTCTGTAGATAAATTGTAGCAATATTGTTCTTATGTTTTTTTTAATCTTTAAACATGTTTTATTAACTTATTTTTCTTTTCATGCAGAATCGGATATGTTTTGCACCACATGATAGTGATTATGACTTCACTAGGTTTCAAATATTATCATACCCTGTTGTTCCTACGCAAATCAAGGTATTATTGTCTGATAAGGGAAAAACTATTTAAGAAGACATATTTTGGGCACTTTCTTAGCATGCCCAAAATATGTATCCAAAATCAGGTAATTCACCTTCTGATGAAGTATGAATTGAACACATATGGATCTGATATTTTTTTCCAGCAGAGCTAAAGGGTCAGTGGCTGAACTTTGGTTGAAGGAGTTTGCTCTTATTACCGGCCTCAAATGTGTTACAGAAGTAACAGACTTTGGGTACACACCTAAATATGATAGTAAAACAATGAGGAGTTATTTTTCGAACAAGGAAAAAGTTGAGAAGTCGTACATGAAACAAATTATTTGTAGTCGTAGTTGGATGAATGATGAGGATGCAGTCAAGCTATGTATTCTGTATCTTATAGAGTTCTTCCTCTGTCCTTCAAATAAAGAGAATGGTTTGATAGACCACTTTCGGTTCTATTTGGTTGACTCAGGGCAGTATGCAAATTTCTCATGGGGTATAGATGCTTATACATATTTTCTTCAGTCTGTTAGGTATAAGTTGACCCCATTTGTGCATTTTTATCTTCTTTGAGGTTTTTCCCTCGCTATGCAAATCTACTTGTATGAGTGCTGCTCTACAGTTAACATAGATATTGCTACAATGGTTAGCAATTCGATCCCCCGTATCCTTAAACGGATAGTAACAAAGGACAAGATATGAATTTCTGCATTGGAAGAGAGGATGATCAAACCATCCTGGATCAGGGTAAATTTTGTACATACGTTAATGGTAACACAAAATATTAACATGTTTAACACAAAAATTCTACATATTTATGGTACAAATAATATAACTACAAAATACATAAGTTGATTAACTCCCTTATATTGTTGTTTCACTCATGTTACAACCTAAACCGATGAGCCATGACGAGTACCCGAACCTAGATATCAAACACCCATAAGCATACGTCTAAGATAAAATATGGAATAAGTGTAGGTCATGCATAACGTCTGGCAATAAACTACTGAATCACGTGAATAACATACGTGAGGAAAATATGTCCAAAAGACATATATACATATACATGCGAAATACGATAGGACGAGCCGACAAGGCTGCTATAGACAACTATATATCCAAAACTAGAAGCCGACAAAGCCACATACTATCCAACTATACATGACTGTCTACAGACCTCTAATAGAGTGTACAACTTTGTAAGGGACGAGACTGGGCCCCGCCATACCTATATATGTATACAAACATATCGTACCAAAACCCAAAAGTAGCTCCAGATCAAATGGGACATACCAACTCTCGCTGAGCAAGGATCCTAAGAATGGGGACCGTCAGCCTGTCTACATGCACCTGCTGGCATGAAACGCAGGCCCCAAGCAATAGGGGCGTTAGTACGAATAATGTACCGAGTATGTAAGGCATGAAATGATGTACATAAAAGACATAAAAGAAACATAGGGTAAAGAATTCCACCTGTGAGTTT